ATCTGGCATCTGACAACCTTGCAAGCCCATTCTCTCTTGGCTGCTTGGAGAAAATAGCAGAAAGCAGAGGATGAGGAAGTTGGGAAGCCATGAAACAGGATTGAGGAAAGGGAGAGAACGGATAATTCAAGCAGTATATTGGTCTTTCCATACAACGGAAGGAGCAGCAGACACGGGCTTCAATCCCTTCCCCTGGAGGTCTGGGCCATGCCAGAAGCCCACTCAGGTGGGGAGACAGAGAAGCCCTGGACCGCCTATCCTTGCGCCAGCCCCCCCTTTGCCCCCAGCAACAACGGTTCTGCCACTTCTCCGGCAGAACCCCCGGACCAGCTGGCGGGGAAGGGGGGGCAGGGGCAGGCTATGGCGACAGGCCGTTTCCGCTGGGTAACAGACAGGCTGCTCCTGGAGCAGCCAGGAGTTGGAGAAGCCACCAGAGGGGAGGCGATGCCAGATCTCGCCTCCCGCCCGCCCGAGAGACTCTGCTTTCCTTGGCAAAGCGCTTCATTATTGCAGGGCAGGGGACATGGGCGGCACCAGGGGATCCGTGCAGCTACTATCCCACCCCTCCTCAGCCTCAGTCATGCTGCCTTCTCCTTGAGGCTCCAACTCAAGGAGAAGACAGAGAAAGAGGGGGGCGGGGGAAGTCTAAACGGCGGCTACCTCAAGCAAGCTGCAGCGCTATTACGCAGGGCTTCGAGTGGTTGGAGAAGTGACATGGCTCTGTGTGCCATTTCACCAACACGGTCCTAGAAAGTGAAGTCAAATGGGCCTTAGGAAATCTGAACAACAACAAAGCTAGTGGAGGTAATAGTATTCCAGCTGAGCTATTCAAAATCTTAAAAGACGATGCAGTAAAAGTGCTACACTCAATTTGCCAGCAAATTTGGAAAACTCAACAGTGGCCACAGGTTTGGAAAAGGTCAGTTTACATTCCAATTCCAAAGAAAGACAATGCCAAAGAATGTTCAAACTATCGCACCATTGCATTCATTTCACATGCTAGTAAAGTTATGCTTAAAATCCTACAAGCTAGGTTCCAGCAGTATGTGGATCGAGAACTACCAGAAGTACAGGCAGGATTTTAAAGAGGCAGAGGAACTAGAGATCAAATTGCCAACATACGCTGAATCATGGAGAAAGCTAGGGAGTTCTACTTCTGCTTCATTGACTATGCTAAAGCCTTTGATTGTGTGGATCACAACAATTTGTGGCAAGTTCTTAAAGAGATGGGAGTACCAGACCATCTTATTTGTCTCTTGAGAAACCTACATGCAGGTCAAGAAGCAACAGTGAGAACTGGACATGGAACCACTGATTGGTTCAAAATTGGGAAAGGAGTCCAGCAAGGCTGTATATTGTCATTCTGCCTATTTAACTTATATGCAGAGCACATCATGAGAAAGGAGGGGCTAGATGAATCACAAGTTGGAATTAAAATTGCCTGGAGAAATATCAACAACCTCAGATATGCAAATGATACCACTTTAATGGCAGAAAGTGAAGAGGAACTAAAGAGCCTCTTGATGCAGGTGAAGAAGGAGAGTGCAAAAGTTGGCTTGAAACTCAACATTAAGAAAACTAAGATCGTGGCATCTGACCCTCTCAATTCCTGGCAAATAGATGGGGAAGAAATGGAGGTAGTGACAGATTTTATTTTCCTGGGCTCCAAGCAGCAGATGCGGACTGCAGCCAAGAAATTAAAAGACGCTTCCTCCTGCTGAGGAAAGCTATGGCAAATCTAGACAGCTTACTAAAAGGCAAAGACATCACCCTGCCAACAAAAGTGTGTATAGTCAAGGCTATGGTTTTCCCAGTTGCAATGTATGCCTGTGAAAGTTGGACCATAAGAAAGTTGGATCATCAGTTGGATCACTGAGTGCCAAAGAATTGAGACATTTGAACTATGGTGCTGGAGAAGACTCCTACAAGTCCCTTGGACTGCAAGGCGATCAAACCCATCAGTCCTAGAGGAGATCAACCCTGACTGCTCTTTAGAAGGCCAGATCCTGAAGATTAAACTCAAATACTTTGGCCACCTAATGAGAAGGAAGGATTCACTGGAGAAGAGCCTAATGCTGGGGAAATTGAGTGCAAAAGAAGAAGGGGACGACAGAGAATGAGGTGGCTGGATGGAGTCATTGAAGCAGTAGGCGTGAGCTTAAATGGACTCTAGAGGATGGTAGAGGATAGGAAGACCTGGGGGAATGTTGTCCATGGGGTCGTGATGGGTCAGACATGACTTCACAACTAACAACAATAGAATACCCCACTTTTTCAAAATGTCTTTGTTCAAACAGGAAAAAAAAACATTTTGCATCTCTATCATGTTAACTGAGAATTAGTGGAGCATGTGTGCTGTTTTAGGAGAATACAAATTTTATGACCTCATAAAATGGGGGAAACTACTTAACAATGTCTTGCTTAGCAATGGAAATTTTGGGCTCATTTGTGGTTGTAACTCAAGGACTACCTGTAATCAATTTAAAAATACATTGAATTTTCCATGTTTCTTCTTATTTCCAACCAGATTTTCTAAACACTTAAATGGTGTTTAGAGCCAAAACTGCAAGAGTACCCAGGCCAGAAATATTGGAAATCCTGAAACCTAGGGATGGTATTAGATTCGGGAAAGCTGGATGCATGAATATATTGTCATATTTAAATCAATGCAGTTATGTCTTGGGTTAAAACAGTAATTTCTTAACCAGTTTATTTTATCATGTGTTGTGTGATCCATTAGAACATGCAGTTGTTTCAGATTTCAGTGCTTGGGCTAATGATAATGAATTGAACAGTCAGTCTTTTTCTGTTTTAAAAGGAGGTGTAAATTGCTGCTGCAGCTGCTGCTTTGTTCTGGTCACCCGATCTCTGTGTCTTGAGTGATCTAACATATTTCACAGTTCACTCCATTTCTTCAAACTCAAAGACAGAAGTGAGGCTCAGAGGATAGAAAGATGCTTATATAATGCTAGTCCGCAACTCCTTAAGGAAAACATTTTCCAGGGTTTTGTGGCAACCTTCTGTAGCAGTAGTAGCAGCAGCTGTGCAAGTCTTGAGTGTAGGAAATACGACTTCTGCAATAGAGTAGTAAATGTCTAGAACACTTTACCTGATCCTGTTGTTAGTCTCTCTAACTCCCATATCTTTTACCTTAAACTGTCTACCATGGACCTTACACGTTTCTTTAAAGGTCCCTAAGGGGGCCTGCATAAGCGCACCAGCATGCCTGCCATCCCTGTCCTACAATTCCCATTTATATGTACTCATTTTATGTATTTATGGCTATGTTTTGCTTATTTATATCCTTTTATTTGTGCCAATTTTTTTCATGTGTCTATGTCTATACTGTTACTTGTTTCCTTGTACTTGTTGATAAAGAAAGGAAGAGAGAGAGAGAGAAAGAAAGAAAGTCTGGAATAAGATTCATTTGATTTTTTTAAAAACTGTACATCAATACTATAAGCAGATTCCCCCATTAACTCAGAAGCACTTTTTGTCCCCAGGTCCAAAGCACTGCACTGTAAAATTTATTTACAGCACTAAATAAATAAATTTGCTACTGGCTGACTTAGAAGTATATCTCACTGACTTTAATGAGATTTTCTCCCAGGTAAAGAATGATAAAATCTATTAATTTTTATTGATGTTTAAAAATAGACCCTGACTTTTTTTTTTAATGCAAATATTCTGGGCAGATTACTGAATACATACATATGCACACTCTATATATGGGTAATCCTCAACTTAGGACCACAATAGAGTCCAAAACTTCTATTCCTAAGGGAAACAGTTGTTAAGTGAATCTTAACATTTTACAATCTTTCTTGCCACATTTCACTGCTAACACAGTGGTTAAGTGAATCTTGCTTCCCCATTGACTTTGCTTTTCAGAAGGTTGCAAAAACTGATCACCTGATCCCAGGACACTACAACTGTCATAAATATGAGTCACTTGCCAAGCATCTGAATTTCGATCATGTGATGATGGGGATGCTGCAACAGTTGTACGTGTGAAAACGGTCATAAATCACTTTTTTCAGTGTCATTGTAACTTTGAATAGTCACTAAATTAACTGTTGAAAGTCAAAGATTACCTGTATCATCTCTTCTCTTAAGAAATTTATAAATGCCAACTTGAGTTTTTATCATCGTCAACAAACTCACTCATCTTTACTGTGTTGTGCTTTTTTATTTTTATTTTTACTTATTCACAAAAATAAATATTCTCATTACTGCTTTCTAGGAAACTCAAAACATTGCTTACTATATTGCTTAGTTCCTATGACTAATTATGTATTTCTTCTAACTTATTTCCACTACAGGTAGTCCTTGACTTACAACTGGTTGCTTAGTGACTGTTTAAAGTTACCAGAGACCCTGGAAAACTGGATTTGAAGTTCTGTCAATCACCCATCTTCCCCTCCCCAAGATCACATGACTATAGTTTGGTCAATCAGCATCTGGCCGTTCACAGTGTCCCATGGCAACACAACTGTGATTTATGATGTTGTTCCTAGAGATCTGAATTCATTTTCTGTTTCTGGAGAAAAATGCCCCATCGCAAATAATGTGTATGCTTAATAATCCTCACAGAAAATGTCATAAAATCAGGTACAGTCATGTGATGACCTGCTTTATGACTACCATGATTTATAACTGAAAATGTGAGCTCAATTAAGGTAATAAATCAAGGACTACTTATATTCCAACTATTGCATAAGAACAACTTATAGGTACTGTAGATTACTTTTTAGAGCACACTCTTTTAGTCCAAAATGAGAACTAGATAGAATGAATTCTCTAAACTTCTAAAAATCCATTCTAATTTGGAAGTATCTGAATGCTTTCTCTTCTCCAGTTCTGAATATTTTTAGTCTTTTAGCTGGATTTTTTTTCCTTCTCAAAATTGTTAACTCTGAACATTTTATTATTCTTGGAATGTAGTCTTTAATGCATTCTTCACATAAATGTTTCATTTTGTTTTGCTATTTGTCTTACAGTTATTGTTGCTGATTGGATTCATTTGTGTAAGATCTTCACAGTGGACAGATCACAATGCATACAGCTACTTTGAAATTGTCTGCGTATATGACTTAATTATGATCTTCATCTTTTACATTATCTACATCTTTAGAGCCTATCGAAAGTTGACTTGCATCAGGTGGCCACTTGCGGTAAGTTCATATCCATAATTAAAATCATCTTTGTCAACTTCCAGAAAGATTATTACTTGCATTAAATTGTTTTGTTACACTTGTAACTACACAACAGTAATTCCTATGTAGCATTTTTACTCCATTTACTTATTATTTAGAATTGCATCTCCTGATGATACATAGTTTCCTGGATCTAAAGAAAATATTAACATAGAAACAGGAACCACTGAATGTCTTCTTTTTCTTATAAAGTTAAAATGGCCAATTTTTTATCAATCTGTTTGGGAAGATCTGGTTGAAGACTTCTGCAGCCTGCATTTTTAGCAAGGTATTGGGAATAGATGTACACATTTTGCTACTCATAATTTGCTCTGATTTAGTTATTATCTTTGTAGATTGTTGAACATAATTGCTTAGATGTGTATTGGTCCCTGTACTTCCTGATTTTAGTTTAATTTTTTCCACTACTACCTCTATAAAGCATCCATTAGGCAAACAAGCCCACCTACTAGTGACAACAAACATACTCATCAAATAAAGGGGCACTGTATCTTACTGTACAGCATATAGAATATCCTAGGCTTACCCTTAGACATCTCTAGATGGAAAAACCTGAAAGGCATCTGCCCATGACTATTAAAAGAATGAGGTTAAGTTCTTAGCCATCCACTCTCATGGAAAGCAAGATTCTTTCAGAGTGTTTTATCCAAGATCTACTGAAAGAGGGTAGGAGAGAAATCTCAACACCTTCTCCCCTCAACCATTCCATTTATTTTCAAGGTTCCTAAGGCATAAACATAAATAGCTAAAAGTTTCTTACTCATGACTCCTGTGTGAATTAATGAGGAAGCTGGTCTCTTAACTGATATAGGAGGAATGTCCTGCTTGTTTGAAAGTGAATGTCTATCTCCTTATAAAAATACCATTATATTCCATCACTGGTCAATAGGCAAAGCTAAGCCAGGTACACCAAATATAAGGCAACTTCATATTTTCAGAAAGGTCTACCATGCTGAATACATTACTTTTAATTTATATACTACTAAAACTCTTACATCTGTAACCTTTAGATGAAACATTCTGAACCAAAATACCTCAAATGAGCTAACTACAGAATGCCTCCAAAATCTGGGATCCATGACTCCTGTGGAATTGAAATTTGGCAAATTTGGTAGAATATTTTACAACACAACAGTATCATAAAACTGTTTATCACATCATACAAAATGCCATAAACATTTCTTCTGGTCAGCTCTACAGTTCAACATGGGCTATTTCCAACGTGGTTGTTGTCGTTAGTTGTGAAGTCATGTCTGACCCATTGTGACCCCATGGACAACGTTCCTCCAGCCCTTCCTGTCCTCTACATTCTCTGGAGTCCATTTAAGCTCATGCCTATTGCTTCAGTGACTCCATCCAGCTACCTTGTTCTCTGCCGTCCCATTCTTTTTTTGCCCTCAATCCTTCCCAGCACTAGGCTCTTCTCCAGTGAGTCCTTCCTTTTCATTAGGTGGCCAAAGTATTTGAGTGTCATCTTCAGGATCTGGCCTTCTAAAGAGCAGTCAGGGTTGATCTCCTTTAGGACTGACCAGTTTGATTGCCTTGTAGTCCAAGGGACTTGCAGGAGTCTTCTCCAGCACCATCAAGAGGCTCTTTAGTTCCTCTTCACTTTCTGCCATTAGAGTGGTATCATCTGCATATCTGAGGTTGTTGATATTTCTCTTGGCAATTTGCAAAGCTTCGTCAGATAGTTATTTTGCTTTCTTGCGTTTCTTTTTCTTTGGGATGGTTTTATTTATTTTATTTTATTTTTAATTTTTATTGAAAATTATTAAAAAATACAGAAAAAATATAATAATATGGATAGAATTGCAGAGAGTAATATAATACATATAGAGTTTTAAAGTATCAATTTTCGCCTGGAGAAAGTACAAACTTCCATTAAGCTAACTCATCAAAAGAAAGGAAGGTTTAACCAGAAAAAAAAAATTCTCAATCGTCATGCAGTACTCCTGGAAGTATTTACCCACGTTCACATTAAGGTTAATATTTTCGTTCTTCTTAAGATTTCTTTTTTTGCAGCCAAGCATACCATCTGTCCCAGTTCCTATATAACCCCGATTCTTGTCTATCTCGCAAAAGTCCAGTAAGCTTGTCTGCTTCTGCACAGTCCATGATCTTTGCAATTAACGTAGCCTCCGATGGGATATTTTTAGATTTCCATTCTTGCGCGAACGAGATCCTGGCTGCAATGATGATGTGGAGAGCGAGATACCAATTAGATTTGTTTAAATTCTCTGGTTTCATGCCTAGTAAAAACGTTTCTGGGTTCAAATCTATTCTACATCCTATGATTTCTAAAATCCATTTTTGAATTCTAGCCCAATATTCTTTTGCTCGGGGACAGGTCCACCAACTATGAAAGTAAGTTCCCATAGCGGCGTTGCATTTCCAGCAAACCGGAGAGGTCCCCGGGAACATCTTCGATAATCTAGCCGGGGGCAGGTGCCATCTATATAGCATTTTGTATATATTTTCCTTATAGGAAACTGACATTGTTAATTTTAAGGTTGTCCCCCAGATTTCTTCCCATTTTTCAAGTTCAATCGAGTATCCCAAATTTCTCCCCCAGGCAATCATTGAGTCTTTGATGACCTCCTCTCCAATTCAGTCCATTAAGAGGAATTGATAGAGTTTGGATAATACCTTCTCATCCTTCCCCAACAAGATCTTATCAAGTTCCTGTAGAGAATTATAGATTCCTCCTTTATTTTTATCCTGAGCTGTCCTAGATTGGATCTGATTGTATGACCACCAATCTAGCTCATAGCCTAATTCCACCAGCATATTTCGAGATTTTACTTTGCCTGAAGGATCCAACAGAGCTTGGTAGATTAGTGGTTTATTTCTGTTGTAAAGAGTCGGGTGTGTCATTGCCTCTAAAGGGGAAAGCCAAATCGGAGTCATCAGGTAAAATTTATTTCTTATTCGATCCCATATGGTCATCAAAACCTTTCGAATAAAGTGGTCCATAAAATATTTATGTTTTTTGGGCCTTTCCTGACTCAGATAATAGTGCCACCCCTGTTGCAAATTGTGACCTTCCAAGCTAAGGATTCTCCTCCTCCTCAAGGCAATCCAGTCTCTGATCCAAGTTAAGACAGCTGCCTGATGATAAAGCTCCCATTTAGGTAGGCCAAATCCTCCCCTGGAAGGGGATTCTTGAAGCATTTTCAATTTAATCCTTGGTTTTTTATTCTGCCATACAAATCTACACTGATCTAAAGAATGAAAAAAATTTGTATCTACTAAAACTGGGGCTGTCTGAAAGAGAAAAATCCATTTAGGCAGGATATACGTCTTAACTACTGCAATTCTACCTAATAATGATAGCTGTAAACTTTTCCATCCTTTCAACATTTCTTTAGTTTGACTAAGTAGTTTTTAGTAGTTGTCTTCTTTAATGGTCGAGCATTTAGATGAAAGCCAAATTCCTAAGTATTTTAGTTTTTTGACTATCTGGATCCCTAGTTCTTCCTCTAACTGTGCTTTTTGATTCTTCGTCATATTTTTAATTAGGATCTTGGTTTTATCTTTATTTAATTTAAATCCCGCTACTTTCCCGTAAGCCTCCAATTCCTATAGCAGGCTTGGTCCCGATTCCAAAGGTTCTTCCAAGACAAATATCAAGTCGTCCGCAAAGGCTTGGAGCTTAAACTCTTCCCCTCTGTTTCTTAGCCCTCTAATTCCTTGATTTCTTCTGACCTCATTCAATAATAACTCTAGGGTTAAAATAAATAAAAGTGGAGATAATGGACATCCCTGTCTAGTACCTTTACTTATATCAATTTTTTCAGACTCCTCCCCATTAATAAGTATTTTCGCTGTCTGTTTTGCGTATACTGTCCGGATTGCCCTGGTAAATCTTTCCCCGAATTCCATTTCGCTCAACTGTGCAAAGAGAAATTTCCAGCTCACTCTGTCAAAGGCTTTTTGTGCATCCACGGAGACCAGGGCCACCTGTTTATCAGAATTACACTCATAATATTCTAATATATTCATTATAGTTCTCACGTTATCTTTCAATTGTCTATGAGGTAGGAAGCCATTCTGGTCTCCGTGGATGTACTCATTCAGGAAAATTTTTAGTCTCTTCGCTAAAATCGCAGAGAATAATTTATAATCGGAATTAAGCAGGGAAATCGGTCTGTAATTTTTAATCAGAAGCGGATCAGTGCCTTCCTTTGGAATTAGTGTAATATATGCTTCAGACCAGGAGGGTGGCATTTGACCAAAGACCAGAACCTCATTAAATACTTGAGTCAAAAATTCCCCCAAAGTCTCAAGGAGGGCCTTATAAATTTCTACTGGCAGACCATCTGTACCTGGGGTCTTTCCCCCCTTTTGTTCCCTTAATACTAACTCTACTTCCTTCAAGGTAATCTCTGCATTCAATATTTCTCTCATTGGGGGTGGGACCTTCTGGGGATCCGCTCTAGCCAAATACTCTCTAATCTCCTGGTCCTGTTCATCTCCAGCTGAATACAAAGCAGTAAAATATTCTTGTATTATTTTTCCTTTCCCTTCCTTATCCGAAACACATCTTCCCCTTTGGTCCTTCAAACAAACTATCCTATTTCTCTCCTGTTGCTTCTTCAGTCTATAAGTAAGCCATTTTCCTGCTTTATTTGCATGCTCAAAATGCCTTTGTTTTGCCCATCTAATTTTAGTAGCCAATTCTTCCTGATCTAATAGGTTTAACTGGTGTCGGGTTATTTTCTTCTTCTCAACTAGTTTTAAGTTCCCTGGGTCTGTCTGCAACCTCGCTTTCTTGCGTTTCTTTTTCTTTGGGATGGTTTTAGTTGCTACCTCTTGTACAATGTTGCAAACCTCCATCCATAGTTCTTCAGGCACTCTGTCTCTCAGATCTAATTCCTTAAATCTATTTGTCACGTCTACTGTATATTCATCAGGGATATGATTTAGTTCATGCCTAAATTTTGCATGATCTGAGCTTCTCCAGGTCAGCTCCTGGTCTTGTTTTTACTGACTGTATAGAGCTTCTCCATCTTTGGCTGCAGAGCACATAGTCAATCTGATTTCTGTGTTCACCATCTGGTGATGTCCATGTGTAGAGTCGTCTCTTGGGTTGTTGGAAAAGAGTGTTTGCTATGACTATCGTATTCTCTTGACAAAATTCTATCAGTCTGTGCCCTGCTTCATTTTGTACTTCAAGGACAAACTTGCCTGTTATTCCGGTTATCTTTTGGCTTCCTACTTTAGCATTCCAATACCCCATAATGATAAGGACATCATTTTTTTGGTATTAATTCTATAAGGTGCTGTAGGGTTTCATAGAACCGGTCAATTTCATCCTCTTCAGCTCCAGTGGTAGAGGCATAGACTTGGACTACTGTGATATTGAATGGTTTGCCTTGGGTTCAAGCAAATCATTCTGTCATTTTGGGGATTGTATCCCAGTATTGTTTTCCCTACTCTTTTATTGACTATGAAAGCTACTCCATTTCTTCTGAGAGATTCTTGCCCGCAAAAGTATACCTGATGGTCATTAAATTCACCCATTCCTGTCCATTTTAGTTTGCTGATTCCTAAGATGTTGATGTTCAGTCTTGTTATCTCGTTTGACCACATCCAGCTTGCCTTGATTCATGGATCTCACATTCCAGGTTCCTATGGAGAATAGATCTTTACAGCATCGCACTTTCCTTTCATCCCCAGATGCATCCACAGCTGAGCGTCCTTTCGGCTTTGACCCAGTCACTTCACTCTTTCTTGCACTACTAGTACTAGCCCTGTTCTCTTCCCCAGCAGCATATTGGACACCTTCTGACCTGAGGGGTTAATCTTCCAACATGGTTAGAGAGTGTCAATGAAGCGATGAACATGGGTTTGGGCAAACTCTGGGAGACAGGAAATGACAGTGATTCCTGGCATCTTCTTAAGAAAGAAGAAGGGGTCAACCTATTCCTCAAAGCACCAAAAGGCAAGAGAACAAACAATGGATGGAAACTAATCAAGGAGAGAAGCAACCTGGAATTAAGAAGAACTCTCCTGACAGTGAGAACAATTAACTAATACATTTCTGAATATTTCTTTGAATCTTTAAAGAAAAAAAAAACTTTTCAAGTACATTAGAAGCCTTGTCATTTTTGAAGGCATTAAGGAATCTGGTAAGGAAATATCTCTGCAAAGATGAATGAAAGGATCATGGGTTGTCTGGTGATCTCATAGAGTAGTCATTGGCAGAGGATGAATAGTAACTGTCCAAAGAGAGAAAAATGATACGTGCTTCCATAATTACTTTTAAACAAGGCAGTGGAGTAACAACCATATCCATTTTATTAGAATGGTATTTTCCCCTTCTGTCTTTCATTCAGGAAAGAGTAACTAGATGAAAATGAATAAATACTGAACAATAAAATGAGAATACATCAATATGATAATAAAGCGATGGATGGGTGGAGACCAAGAGGAGGAGGCGGAATTTGCCATCAATCCAGCAGCCACCTTCAGCACAAAACTCCCCCATTTGGTTCCAGGACAATTAACAGAGCCAGATCTTCAGGCTCCTACAGAAGAGTAGAGGATGGGGCAGATATTACCCTTGAGAGGTGGATGTTCCAAAGGGTGGGCACTGCAGCAGAGATGGTGCAGTATTTGCCCTTCTGGATTCTGATAGTCAAAGTTCTTTGATCGACAGTATCCAAAATAGACTGTCTGCCAGCACAAGTAGGACAGGCTTGCCTTAGTGGGATGAGACAGTTCATCAGGTAGCCTGGATCTATGCCATTAAGGACTTTAAAGATCATAATCAATACCTTTAGCAGTACTCAGAAGCAGACCATTAGCCAATGAAGTTTGTGGAGCAGAGGTGTAATATGGATCATCCTAGAGTCCCTGCTCTCACTTCCCCACTTTGCACCAACTAAAGCTTCCCAATAGATTTAAAGGGTAGCCCATGTAGAGTGCATTGCAGTAGTCGGGATGAGAGATGACTAGGATTTGAATAACTGAGCACAGGGATTCATAATCCAGGAAAGTTTGCAGCTGGTGCACAAACGGACTATACAAAAGGTCTCTCAGTCAGGCCTGCTACCTGTTCTTTGAGCAGGAAATGTACATCCTGGAGGACCCCTAAATTGCAAACTGGGTCTGAATAGATAGTGCAACCCTGTCCAGGACTAAGGATGACAAAAACATAGATCCAGAGGCTCCATGCACTGTGAAGGCATTCAGTCTTGCCAAGGTTCAATCAAAGTCTGTTGTCCCTATCCAGGTCACTTCAGGCACCATGAGAGAGCAGGATCAGCATAATTCGAGTCACCAGGTGTAGAGATGGAGAGCTGGGTATCATCAGCATATAGATGCTATCTCAACCCATGGTGATGATCTCATTCAGTAGCTTCATATGTAGATGTTAAACAGGAAAGGAGAGAGTACTGAGCCCTTCGGGACACAGCAAGTGAGCAGTTGGGGGCTGGATCTCTCAATCCTATCTACATCAATTGGGACCAGCCTTGGAGAAAGGAGTTGAACCAGCACAAAAGTATGCCATCCACTCACAGCTCATGTGGCTGTCCCAAAAGAATATCATGGTCAATGATATCAAAGGCTACTAAGAGGTCAAGTAAAGTGAGAATGGTTGCACTACTCCCATCCCATCCCCGAGAGAAATTGTCCATGAGTGTGCCCAAAACTGTCTCTGTGCCAGAGCCAAGCCTGACTGAAAGGAGTCCAGGAAATTTGTTTCATCCAGAACCCCCAGAGCTGTCAAGCAACCAACTTTCCCACCACCTTCCCCAAAAAAGAGAATATAGGAAACTGAATAAAAATTGTCTAAGCAGATGGGTTCAATTGAAGGTTTTTTTAAGGAAAGAACAAACCATGGCATCTTTAGAATGTCCTGGGAATATTTCCTCTTGCAGTGAGAAATTTGTATTGCATGAACCCATCTGCTGGTCACCATCCTGCATGCTTTCACCAGCCAGGAAGGACAAGGGTCTAATTGACAGGTGGTTGCACTGAGACCATATGGAGAATGGTTGCAATAATTGGGTATGTCTAGTTTAATGAAAAGAAACATTAAGGTGATATAACAGCAGTGTTCCAACACCTAAGGCACCTGATCCACAAAGGCAATGGATCAATCTATTTTCCAAAGCACCAGAAGGCAAGACAAGAAACAATGGATGAAAACTAATCAAGGAGGAAACCAACCTAGAACTAGGGAGAAATTTCCTACAGTGAGAACAATTAATCAGTGGAATTACTTGCCTCCAGAAGTTGTGGATGCTCCAAAACAGAGGTTTTTAAGAAGGGATTGGACAACCATTTATCTGAAATGGTATAGGGCAGAGGTGTAAAACTCAAGGCCAGAGGGTTGCAGGAGAGTGTGGCAGCTGAAAACGGAGCTCAGGAGCCTGTTTTCGCTGACAGAGCACTCAGGCCACAATAGGCGCCCCCGACACAAGTGACGTTGAGCTGGCCACACCCATCCTGGCCACGCCCATCCCAACCCCCAGAGGCTGAACAGCCCTGATGCGGCCCTCAATGAAATCAAGTTTGACATCCCTGGTATAGGGTCTCCTGCTTAAGTAGGGGGTTGAACTAGAAGATCTCTAAGGTCCATTCCAACTTTCTTATTCTGTTACATGTATTATTCTGAGCTAATGAGTTACTTATTCTGTAACTCATTAGCTATACTTGGGGCTTCAGTCACACTGAAATGTTCCTTTGATGTAAAATACAGAATCTTTGTAGCTTTTCTTCTAAACTACATTACCTTTGTTTCATTTTAGGAGTTTCTTCATTACCTAATAGGTACTATTCTGCTTCTTATTGCATCCATTGTGGCAGTTGCAAAAAGCTCCAATTCAGCAGGCCTGGTAGCTGGAGCGGTGAGGCTGTTTGCCATTTTTTGTTACATATAAGCAACTTTATTTATCAGAGTTTAAAATATATGTCAAGTTTTTTTCCCATAATAAGCACACTAAAAGAAAAGAGAGTCAATATATTGATTGAGGATTGGATATGTTAGATCTTAAAAAATACTGGAAAAGATATTTAACATTGCTTTTTCCCACTATTGCTCTAATCCTCCATTATCAAAATCTGCACTGTGCACACAATTATTAGACAAGTCATATTTTGGAGGATTAATTTTATTATTGAATAACTACAGTGCTCTCGGTCAATCCAAATGAGTAAATGAACCTGGATATTTAAGAAAGTAAAAATGAGGTTTTGGCTTTCTTAGGAGAATATTTATTTGTGCACAATTATTGGGCAACTATTAGTATAAAGAATTATTATGCAACTAAATGAAAAATTGTCCATCACATTCGTTTATTTGTATCTGTTAAAGTGAGAATAATAAACTACTCAAAATGTACAAATAAACATTTCTGACATTTCAAAAAAAAAAAAATCAGTGACCAATAAGTCACCCTCTTTGATAAACTGAAAGACAAAATGGACAAGTACAAAAAATGGAAAGATAACTAAACATAACTAAGGCAGAATATCTGCAAATAGCCAGAATCTGCAAAAACAAAGTCAGGAAAGCAAAGGCTCAGAATGAACAAAGACTTGCAACAAAAGTCAAAGATAATTTTTTTAAAAAGTTTCTTTCAACATATAAATAACAAGAAAAAAAATCAAGGAGTCAGTCCACTAAAGAAAGAAGATGTCAAGGAAGTAACAGGCAGCAGAGAGAAAGCAGAGCTGCTTAACTCATTCTGTGCATCAGTCTTCATGCAAAAAGAAACTATAGCCCAATCTACCAAAAACATAACTGTAAAAGACAGATTAGAAATAAAAGTTAAAATAAGCAAAATAATGGTAAGAAAACACCTGTCTGATGTTGATCAATATAAATCACCGGGCCCTGATATATTATATCCCAGAGTTCTAAAGGCAGATGTTATCTCAGAATCACTGTAAAGTATCTTTCAAAAATTTTGGAGAACTGGGAAACTACCAGAGGACTAGAAATCAGCTGATGTGGTTCCCATCTTCAAAAAAGGGAGAGAAAAAACAGATCCAGGAAACTACAGATCAATGAGACTCACATCAATATCTGGGAAGTTACTGGAAAAGATAATCAAAAAACAGATCTGCAAACATCTAGAAACGAGTAAAGTAATAACTAGAAATTAGCATGGGTTTGTTAAAAACAGATCATGCCAAACCAGACTTATTTCATTCTTTGACATAGTGACTAAATTAGTTAACCAGCAAAATGCTGTGGACATAGCATACTTAGTCTTTGTTCTGCCCCAGCTACGGACCCCAAAGAACGCAGCACACACAAACTCTATACAAAGCTTATTTTACTCAAATAACTTAGTCTTTATCATTCAAAGGCTGTTAATGAACTGTCTTAACAGCCTACCAGAATTCTAAGATAAGGTAATCACAGTCTTACTAGAGTTGGCAGAAAGCCCAGAAGCAATTTTGTAGACACGAAGGAGAATGAACTAAAGTTCTCTACAGCTTGTTGCAAGAGGCGTTCCTTTTTAAGTAGGCTAAGGGAGTGGCCAATTAGCCCCAAGCCTTACTCTCGAGGAGACCTCCTCCTGAGGAGCCACTCCTGCCTTTTGGCAGCTCTGCACGCCCATGCATTGAGAAAAGGCTCCTCCTCTTCGTCCTCTTCACTTAAAGGAGCTTCTGGAGGTTCTGAAGGCCCTAGCTGAATCCCTGCCTCTGGATCACATCTTCTCCAGCCTCCTCACTGTCCGACTCGAGCGCCAACTGCACAGGCTGCTGATGCAGCACCACACCAGCCTCCTCATTGTTGGAATCAGCTACAATCTGCACAGGCCGCTGACAGGCCACAACAGTCTTCAGCAAGGCATTCAACAAGGTAGAAACCTACTTCTTGGTAAGCTAGAAAAAAGTGGGATAGATAGCATCACAATCAGATGGATTTGTAACTGGCTGACAAACCGTACTCAACAAGTAGTCCTTAATGGTACTACATCTATATGGAGGGAAGTAAGCAGTGGGGTATCACAAGGTTCCATCTTAGGCCCAGTACTCTTCAATATCTTCATAAACAACTTAGATGAGGGAATAGAAAGGGAACATATCAAATTTGCAGATGATACTAAGCTGGCAGGAATAGCCAACACCCTAGATGATAGGCTCAGGATCCAGATGGATCTTGACAGACTTGAATACTGGGCCCTTACTAACAAAATGAAATTCAATGTAGAGAAAAGTAAAGTCTTACACTTAGGCAAGAAAAACCAAAAATACACATATAGATTGGGAGAAACCAGGCTTAATAGCAGTAATTGTGAGAAGGATCTTGGAGCTTTAGTGGACAACCAATTAAATATGAGTGAATAGTGTGTGGCAGCAGCCATAAAAGACAATGCAATCCTAAATTGCATTAACAAAGGTATTTAATCAAGATCAAGTGAGTAATACCACTCTATAAAGCCTTAGTAAGACCACACCTAGAATACTGCATGCAGTTTTGGTCACCACACTATAAAAAAGATGTTGAGACTAGAAAGAGTGCAGAGAAGAGCAACAAAGATGATTAGAGAACTGGAAACTAAAACATGACAAACGCTTACAGGAACTGGACATGTCTAGTCTAGTGAAGAGAAGGATAGACATAAGCAGTGTGCCAATAGTTATGCGGCTGTCACAGAGAGGAGGAGGTCAACCTATTTTCCAAAACACCTGAAAGCCAGACAAAGAATAATGGATGGAAACTGATCAAGGAGAGATTCAAACTAGAAATAAGGATAAATTTTCTGACAATGAGAACAATCAACCAATGAAACATCTTGCCTTCTGAAGTTGTGAGTGCTTCACCACTAGAAGCTTTCAAGAAGAGACTGGACTACTGTCTGTCAGAAACTGTCAGACGATGGAAAGGAGGATGGGCTTGCAGTGCCCAGTCACAGCTTTAAGAAGTTCAGGCCAATGGGAAAAGGGGCCTGGCCCTGACGAACCTCGCACACCCACCCTGGGGGTCAGTGTGTGTATGTGTGCGTGCACTGAGGAACGAGCGCGAGCAGCGGTGGAGACTTCATTTGGGCAACCTTCCTCCTCCCTCATCGGTGGGGGCAAGAGAAAGAAGGGGGCAGCATGAGGAAGCGCTCCCCTCCCCTGGCCAAGCACAAAAGCCCAGTGGGGAGGGGAGGCTGGTCCAGCAGAAGCGCCCCCATTGGCGAGTCAGATGGTGGAAAGGCCTGGCCCAGCTCTCACAGCAGGACAATGTTCAGCATCTCCAGACGCGAGCTGCTGCCTTTCAAGTGTGCCGCGCCTTTGAGGAAGCCGGGCAGCAATGGGTGGGGCCATGGGAGGGGCGGGAACAGAGGCATCAGGGCTGCTCACCCCCTTCTCAGCAATCTAGGCCTGGAGGAGCATGGAGAGTTGTGGGCCAAATGTTGGAGGGTCAGAAGGCGCGCTCCGATGTCGCCCCAACACACGTTTCTAGTGTGCACTCCTTTGTCCTAAAGTGGGATTTAGTTGGTGGGAGTGAATGACGTCAAGTTGTCCATGCCCACCCAGGTTTTGTGGCTCCCGGTGTTTTCTTTTCTATGGGAAATTGGCCTGTAATTTTGGCCCAAATTAAATAATGCCATTCTTTAAAATTCCATTCTGTTACAAGATTCTGCAATACTGTACAGAGTTTCTGAGGTCATGAAGATTTCAAAATTTCTGAGTAACAGCTATTTGTGGTTTGGTCTTTTACCTAGTATTGCAGAGTGCATGCAGTACTGCAGAGTACATGCAATATTAATAAAATAGTTAAATTTGAACTCTAAACTTAATGTTTAATGAATCAGCTTGCTGAATGCATGCTAAATAATCATTGGTACTGGACACATTTTAAAAACAGATTTACAACTTTTTGCTCTAGTTGCTGAGCAGCCTGTTACAGGGCTCTCATACCCTCAATTTCTCAATCTCATCACACATAATAGAAACAGATTAAAAGAAAAAAAAAACTCTCTTCTCCCATCCCTTTCAATCACTGTGTTTTCATTACAATTATACTGAAAATGCATTCTGCTATTAATTGATACAGAACATTTCTGTCCCCAGCAATCTAAAATTAATAGGTTTATCATTGCATGTAACATGTTTGTGCGGGTAAGATTATCAACCTTGCTGTCAAGTAAAACCAAGCATTTAATAGTGAGTGCCATACCATGTGCACTAATCAAACAGGTGGCAAGAAAGTAGGGGCAGTCAGGCACAACACAGGATATGTAAACACAGGGTCAATCAAAATGGACACAGATGTCTATACACAATGCACAGGGTATGAGGAATAAACAGGGTGAATTAGAAATTCAAGTAAATGAGGGCAGATGTTGTAATGGCAGTAATGATATTGTTGCCATTACTGAAACTTGGTGGGATGAAACCCACAAATGGAACATACAACTAGAGGGATTTAAATTATTTAAAAGAAATAGATCGAATAAAAGAGGAGGTGGAGTTGCACTATATATAAGAAATAACTACATATCTATAGAAATAGAGCACAACAATGATGAAAATTATCTTGAATGCATTTGGGTCAATATTAAAGGGGGGGGAGATGACATTGCCATAGGTCTATACTATAGGCCACCAAACCAAACAGAGGAAATAGATGAACATTTTGCTAGTCAGCTAACTAAGGTATGTAGGAAGCACATCACAATAGTAATGGGGATTTTAACTATCCTGACATCAACTGGGAGACAAACTCTGCACCAAGTGGAAAATCCAACAGGTTCCTAACAAACCTAGCAGACAACTTTGTTTCCCAAAAAGTAGAGAAGGGAACAAGGGGATCAGCCATATTGGACTTAATTCTCATTAACAAAGATGAAACGATAGAAGTTGTTGAAGCTACATGAACCTTGGAGGCAAGTGATCATGCAATATTGGAATTCAACATTATGCAAGCACAAGTAGTGGAACAAAGTCAAACTAGAGTCTTGGACTTTAAGAGAGCTAATTTCAATAAACTTGGGAAGGATTCTGTGGATGAGAATTCTCAAGGGGAAAACAACTCAAGAAGCTTGGGAAATTTTGAAAAGTGAGATTATAAAAGCCCAGTCTAGCACAATGCCAATCAAAAAGAAAAATAACAGCTTTCAGAAGAAACCAGCATTGCTGCATAAAGAACTCTCTGACAAATTGAAAGACAAAAAGAACAAGTATAAAAAGTGGAAAGAGGGGCACATAACTAAGGCAGAATATCAGCAAATAGCCCGAGCCTGCAAAGATGAAGTGAGGAAAGCTAAGGCTCACAATGAACAAAGGCTTGCGACAAAAGTAAAAAATAACAAAAAAAAATGTTTCTTCCAACATATTAAAAACAAGGAAACAATTGGTCCATTGCTGGGAGAAAGTGGCAAGAAGGTGACAAGCAACAGGGAGAAAGCAGAACTACTTAACTCATTTTTTGGATCTGTTTTTACACAAAGGGAAAAAACAGTCCAACCTACCAAAAACAGCACCACAAAAAACAGATTAGGAACACAAGTTAAAATAGGGAAGAAAATGGTACGTGAGGACCTGTCTACCCTAAATGAGTTCAAATCACCAGGACCAACCAGATGGATTACATCCCAAGGTTCTGAAGGAACTGGCAGATGAGATATCAGAACCACTAAACTATATCTTTCAAAGATCCTGGACCACTGTGGAACTTCCAGAGAACTAGAAAAGAGCTGATGTAGTTCCCATCTTCAAAAAAGGAAAAAAAAATAGATCCAGGAAACTACAGAAATATCAGCCTGACTTCAATACCATGGAAGATTCTGGAAAAGATAATCAAGCAACGAATCAGCGTACACCTAGAAGCAATAAAGTAATAACCAAAAGCCAACATGGAATCAAGATCATGCGAAGTGTTAACACTTTATAAATGCCTTGGTAAGGCCACACTTTGAATACTGCATCCAGTTTTGGTCGCCACAATGTAAAAAAGATGTTGAGATTCTAGAAAGAGTGCAGAGAAGAGCAATAAAGATGATTTGGGGACTGGAGGCTAAAACATGAAGAATGGTTGCAGGTACTGGGTATGTCTAGTTCAGGGGTCTGCAACCTTAAACACTCAAAGAGCCATTTAGACCTGTTTCCCACAGAAAAGAAAACACAAACAAAGAGCCACAAAACCTGGGTGGGCATGGCCAACTCAACATCACTCACTCCCACTAGCCACATGACACACACACACACCCAGCCATGCCTACCCAGGTTTTGTGGTTCCCGGTGTTTTTTCCGTGACAAATCTCATTTTCTCTCTCTCTCTCCCCCTCCCCCCTCTCATCTCTCTCTCATGTCTTTCTCTCTCTCGGTCTCTTTCTCATCTCTATCTTTCTCGGTCTCTCTCTCTCTCTTTCTCATCTCTGTCTCATCTCTCTCAGTCTTTCTTTCTCTCTCCTCCTCCTCTTTCTCCCCCTCCTCTTTCTTCCTTTCATCTCTCTCATCTCTGTCTCTCTCTCTCACACACATCTCTCTTTCTCTCTGTCTGTCGTGTGTGTGTGTGTGTGTGTGTGTTTCCTCTTGAACCATTTTCAAAAATGGGCGAGGGTTTTTGTTTTTCTTTTCCTGCAATTGTTCTTTCTTCTTCTTTGGGTTCTTTTTACAATATGATTTAAATCAAGAGTCATTTCAGGTTCCCAGATAAAGGAAGCTGTTTCATCCCCCTGCTGTGGCTTCCTGCTGGCTGGCCCCACCCCTCCCCCTCACAGTCACTCCTTGCCTGAGAAGGTAAGGACGATGGTGGCAGATGGAGATTCGCTCCATATTGCAGAGCGGGAACAAAGTGGCCCTGTACTTGCCTCTTCTTCTGGCCCTTGTTGGTGCTGCGCGCACCTCGGTTACTTGGGGAGACGTGCAACTTTCTTTCCGCCCTGAGGCATTGGCGGCTGACACAGGAGCTCCCGCTGCCTTCATGGCCTGCTTGCTGCTCTTGCAGCACCTTGCGCAGCACACTTAAATTTAGCATGCTTCACAATAGGGGAGACAATGTCCCCTGCTCCTCCTGGAGCCCATTATGACACACAGCATTGTTCACTCAGGGAGATGCATGACTTTCTCTCCGCCCGAGACACTGGCCTGGCCCAGCTGCAGCCGCTGCTCCACATAGTAATGGGCTCCAAATTTAGCAGCGAGCAGGCCATGGAGGTAGTGAGAACACTGGCGTCAGCCCCTGCCAGGCAGACCAGGGTCTCAGGGCGGAGAGAAAGTTGTGCATTTCCCCAAGCAACCGAGGTGTGCGCAGCACCAACAAGGGCTGGAAAAAAAGGCAAATACAGGGCCACTTCACTCCTGCTCTGGAATATGGAGCAAGCCTCCATCCACTGCCGTTGCTCTTACCTTCTCAGATGAGGAGTGACTGAGCGGGGAGGGCGAGAGACGGGGCCAGCCAATGGTGGGATCCAGTTCAGCAGGGAGCCATAGCAAGGGGCCCAAAGAATTGCATGAGGTTCCAGAGCTGCGGGTTGCCGACACCCGGTCTAGTTTAATGAAAAGAAGGATTAGAGGAGACATGATAGCAGTGTTCCAATATCTCAGGGGCTGCCACAAAGAAGAGGGAGTCAAGCTATTCTCCAAAGAACCTGAGGGCAGGACAAGAAGCAATGGGTGGAAACTAATCAAGGAGAGAAGCAACTTAGAACTAAGGAGAAATTTCCTGATAGTTAGAACAATTAAGTCAGTGGAACAACTTGCCTCCAGAAGTTGTGAATGCTCCAACACTGGAAGTTTTTAAGAAGATGTTGGATAACCATTTGTCTGAAATGGTGTAAGGTTTCCTGCCTAAGCAGGGGGTTGGACTAGAAGATCTCAAAGGTCCCTTCCAACTCTGTTATTCTATTCTATGGCTTACATGGAAGAAAAAAAGAAAATCTGTCTTGGAAAGGTGATAGTGGACAAAATTCACTCTTTCCAATTGCTACTGTACTTAAAGACAGTAATTTGTAAGCAGATTTCTGCTGGTTGGAATAATAGAGTGGGAGGACAAAAATTATGCATTTGACAGTACTTGCAGTAAATGTCTATTTGGGTATTTATTACTAACCATTTATTACTAACAATAGATACATTCTTTGAAATGTTAAAGGCTGTTTAATATTACTTATAATCTATAGAAATTTAATGTAAGATATTTTTATGTATGGCTCCTTTGCTGATGCTTTTTTTTTTTAAATAGGTTTTTGGATTCTTAGCTACATTTATGTGCTTCCTAAGTATATGGCTCTCTTACGAAGTCTCTTGTAACACTCAGTCAGCAGGTAAGATTCTAATCAATCAGTTTGACCAACCAGCTCTGTATTGCCCATTTTCCTTGCATTATTTAGACCAAAGACAGACTCTTTGGTCTACAAAGACCAAACATTACATTATTTTTTCAGGCTCTATAATCTATTTATGTTTATTATTTAATCTGGGGAATAGTGGGGAATTGATAGTGATCTGTTCCAGTTATTTATTTGTTATATAGAGAGAGCAAATGAAAGTGACCCGTTCTTTGCTCGGGCATCTAAGGGTGGCATGCACAGTATTTTCACTTTCAATTTTATCCTAAAATAATCTAATGGGAAATATTGAGAAAAAGACAATGACATCACTACAGTTGTAGGAGTGTCCAACTGTGTGATGAAGTCATATTCAGATTTGAATTTTTTATTACATATTTAAAGCCATCCAATTACTTCCATGATGACTATGGTGTGATTTGAATCTGGGCTTCTTAAATTCTGTCTTGGATCCAACCATTATTCCAGTTTTGCTTACACATATTTTCATTGCTGATTGGCCTGTGTAGAGAATAGCCAGAGATGAGGGTTTTCTTTCTTGGTTATACTATACTCCAGCATTGACATTGCAAACTGCTCTGGTCCTAAGAAATTTGTTCTTATTTCCTTCTGCTCTATGCAGAATTCTGCAGCTTACTTGTATATACAAAATTTATGAAACAAGACAGAAATAGGCACTCTATGTTTGATGGCTGTAGAATTCAATAAGTAGCCATATTGCCAAGCAATTTATACTTAATTTGTTGGTTGTTCAAAACATTTGTAGTTTCTTCACTGATCTCCTTTAGTTCAGGATTTTCTTGACAAAAGATAAACTCCTATCCCAAATTTCCCATCTTACATATAGGTAGTTGATTTTTATTATCTGAAATATTTTAGTAAGTGATTGTTTCATTTTATCAATTAAAGTATGTTTGCTTGTCAGTTGCTATGAGCCAGGACAAGTGGTCTAAAATATTTATTTTTAAAAAATAATTTACAATTTACTGGGTAATCTTGATTAATCTTGAGATAAAGAGCCTTGGTACTACAGTGGTTTAAAGCACCCTGTTATTAACACAGCTGCCTGCAATTTACTGCTGGTTCGAATCTCTCCAAGGCTCAAGGTTGACTCAGCCTTCCATCCTTTCTAAGGTAGGTTAAATGAGGACCCAGTTTGTGGGGGCAATAAGCTGACTTTGTATAAATATACAAAAGTATGAAGGCTATTGCTTAACGCACTGTAAGCCGCCCTGAGTCTTCGGAGAAGGGCGGCATATAAATCAAATTTAAAAAAAAAATAATAAAAAAAAAAATTTCTCAAAGCATTGAGAACTTTAAGATTACTTCTCATAATATTAGAGAAAAAGCTCCAATATGCCTTTCTAGTTAACTATAGTAAATACTTCAGCTAGAGCACATCACATTTCTATCACATGTTTATGGGCTCATCACTCTCCAGATTTTAATGCAGGCAAAATTCATCTTTGGCTGATTATCTTGCCCCCACCCTGGATTTGATGGAAGGCACTCTGTGCTGCTCTAAAGTTTTGCTATTTGAGATGTTTTGGAAACCTTAAATTTAATGAGACTTTTACCATTAAAATTGCAGTAAGTTCATTTTAGTTTTTTCTCTTCTCTCCTATTTTTTAGATGCTACCATGTGAGTCTTTTGCTACTTCAAAATGTGCACACCTGTTGAGGGAAGAGCTTAGAAAAACATGCAAGATGGAATGGTATACTGAGATACAGTGACTCTGAAAAGCATTCTTACTAGGCATAGAGTGCCATCTTCTGGCACTTTTCAGCTACTCCTAGGGCTACTGTACAGTAGCCTGTTTCATCTAGTCAAATTTTTGGATCCTGGAAGACAAGAAGGGCTGCAGTAAAAGATCCTATTGGAAGGAAAGGGTCTGTTTTTTAAACAAAAAGAAATGACCCTTTTTTAATTCCAGCTGCCAATATTTCACAGATTGTAGACCAATCTTTATGACCTGAGGAGAATTCAAATTAAAAAATCAAAATGGAAAGTATATTCTGCATCAACCCAGCTGTGACTGGCAAAGGTTGGAAACATTCATCATGAACCAATAACCGTTGCATCTCAGAAATTGTTTTCTTACCTCTCTGCATTTCCTGCCTTTTGGTTCTAGCTCTTAAAATGCACGTCTCATTTAACCTGCTTGAATATGAGTTTGCTTTAATAAGATGGTTCCACCTCAACTTTTGGATTGTGCGCCCCTTAATTAGTATGAATTTCTTTTGTGGGGCAAAATTTTAAATGCTCTAGTTCAACCATACAGTTTAAATTTTTATATTCTTTTGATTTCTTTGGTTAGTTTTTATTTCTCTTGCCATGTATTTTTATTATATTTTTATAACTGTATACCTATCAATATAAGATCCATTAAGAATGAAGAATGTTTACTAAAAACTCACTGTATTCTACTGTTCCTTTTTCATGTTGTGATACACTACAATCAATTTACACTTATTACTAATGTACATGGAGAATACAATTCTCTGTAAGGATCCACAGAAGCAGTATCAAATTATCTACAACAGGTTAAATACGAATTCAATATACTTATTGGGAGAATGAAAAATAGCTATATTGATTGATTTTCCAATACTACTATGCATTTGTAAATGAACACATAATGCTTAGGGAAAATTTCTAGTATACCTATTCTAAAGAAAGTAACTCTTCTGCAAAATGCAATTTTACCAAGGATTTTTTAAAATAGTAACAATTTCCCCTATGCAGTCATGTCCAATTCTAGGGAGCTGTGCTCATCTCTGTTTCTTAGACAAGGGAGCCATCTTCAGCATAGTCCGAAGATGTTTCCATGGTCATGGCTGCCATTGCTATATGCTGAAACGCACAGAATACTGTTACCTTCCCACTGAAGTGGCAACAATTTATCTACTCACATTTGCAAGCTTTGGAACTTGAGCTAGGGCAAGTAATGGGAGCTACCCCCTCGAACAGTGCTGCTGGACTATTACATGAGTGCATGAATGACTATCCTTGGCATTAAAACGTATAAATAAATTTATTTATTTTCTTTTTCTAATGATAAAATACTTTAGCTATAGAATAGCACAATATATAGGAAAGACTGGATAAATGAAAGTCTATAATATGCTGGGAGCAATTTTTCAGTAGATATTAAGTCTACAAATACAGAGAGCAATACATGGAAAAAGAGCCATACATAAAACAACTCCTGTCCAAGAGAACAGAACCAACTTTCCACCCTTCCTTCCACTTAAAATGGTCTGCCCAGCCTCAAGGCTTGGAGGAAGAGTCATTTAAAGACTAGTTAAAGGCAGGCAAGGTGGGGCCCATATGAATATCCAGAGGATGATGTTGGGTGCAGCACAACATCAGGATTCCTGTGGCCAGTCTAGTCCAAACCCAAGGAACTGCAGTGCATCCAAAGCTACAGTGTATCTTGCCTAAATAGTCTCGAGCTGAGGAAAAGCATCAAAACTAGCCTGCACCAGGGCAGCCAATTCCCTATTTCTACTCTATATACTTAGCATTTTGATTTTGAATGGCTTGACTTTTGTAGAGCAAAAATCCTAATTCATATTTTTATTAATATAATTAAGAAAATTAATTTACTGTTTAGTTGAAAGCCATTTAAGGTTTACACCTGCCAAACAAGTGTTATGTAAGCAGGATTCACAAGTAAAATTGAAAACTTGAAATGGATGGATATCCCTTTGAAATTAGTTCTAAGATAACTAAGCTCCAAACTTATATGTAGTTTGTTAATGATATGAGAAGCCAGGACTCAGGAATATAGATTATTAATGTTACATCCTGATGAGAAATTCATTCAGTATTGAATACATAGCAGTTACATCAAGCAGAACTCCAAAGTAATTATCTTCAGGGTGGATCTGGCCTATGCAAGCAACAAACACATATAAGCAACATTTTTAAAAATGGTAGTGTTTTTTCTGCCTATGAAACAATGAATTGGCTTGAAGCAGATAAATGTTACATGTCAATATTTCTTTCTCTTTGGGTTCTGTCAAATTAACAATTGAGGCTTACTGGCGATGACAGACAAAATAAAAAGGTTTAAATTGCTTAGAATCACTTGCACTTAGTACAAAGCCAAGGAAGGAATCTGCAGAATCCCCAGAAAGAAAAGCACAGCTCTGGATGGTTGATGGCAGCAAAACACTAGGTGGTTCAGATCCTGGAGAACTGGGTCAAAAGGAGAGAGAATAGCAAACTCTGTAACATCTGGGCAGGCAAAAATGAATGTATTTGTGGGAGGAGGGAAGAAATCAGCAGCTAAGCATGTTATGATATCCTAATTCAATTGAGTTGTTTAAGATACCCCAAAGTGGGTGGAAATTCATATATGTTATGCCAAACAAATAAAGTACAGGAGTGTGCAACCTTGTACTGGGGAGCTTGGAGTCTGATTTTTAAAAGCTGAATAAATTTTCAGCAACCTCAATCAGCATGGCCTATAATGAACATCCTGGAAATTGGTGCCTCAACAATTTATGCTGGTTGCAGCTGGGACATTTCTAGCTTAGAGCTTATTTGTTTTTTGTTTTTTTTTTTGTTTTTTTTAAATAAACCTTTATTAACATTTAAAATCCAAAAATACAAGTTAAAATACATCTATAACAAAAATACATCCATAATAATTATACAATTCAACGTAATTCTTAACTTTGTTCATCTATTCCTGCATATTCCTACTTAATTGAGATATTTAAACACATTTTGTATCTTATTTTATTCTATACATTCCTTATTTTTAATTTCTATCCATTGATACCAATTTTCCCAAGTTAAGTAATATTCTGAGTCTTCCTTATTATTTAGTTCTAAAGTAAGTTTGTCCATTTCTGCACATTCGAAAATTTTCTGGATTATTGCACAGTCTATTGGTATAGTGGACATTTTCCAGGCTTGCGCAAGTACAATTCTTGCTGCTGTAGTTATATGAATAATTAAATATTCAATCCTTTTAGGGTAATTTCCTCTAATAATCCCCAGAAGAAACAGTTCAGGTTTCAATTCTATTTTACAGTGTGTGTGTCAGGTTTCGGTGCTATCTTAAATGAGTTTCATTTTCAAGCGCAATCTCTCTAATGAAACATTTTTATTTAAGAACATAAAAAGCCGACAATCCTGATTTCATTTTTGCAGCCAAACTGGCCCCTCCTTCCAACCCCCTCCTCTTCCGCTCTCCAACCCCAATGTCCCATTGGCCATCATGCAAATCCATCTCTACCTCCCGGCACGTTCTTTTCACAGGAATGTAGCCCCCACCTTCATCTCCCAGGAAACACTATCTGTACATACAAAACTAGGTAAAAGTTCATCTTGTTATGTCAGCGCTGGAAGAGAGCCTAATTTGGAACGCTGACATCCGGCCCCTCTCCCTTCACTTCTGCAACATCACCTATCCCATAGGGAAAACACAACAAGATTAGTCTCATCAGCCCCTCCCCGGCTGTGCACCCCCCCTCCCGGCTTTCCCTGGTGGTCTGCATGGAATTTTGCTATAAGGCGATCAGCTTGGATGTTTGCGCTCTTCACCCAGGAAGCCTCTGACAATGGGTAACCCTTCCATTTAATTAAGTACTGGAGGCGCCCCCTGTGCCATCTTGAATCAAGAATCCGCTGCACCTCGTAGTGCGTTTGGCCCCCAACAACCAGGGGCCCAGGGGGTTCACGTGGAGTTGGCCTTAAAGTAGACCCCACTACAGGTTTTAGAAGGCTACTGTGAAAAACGGGGTGAATTTTCCCCAAAAGCCGTGGCAACTGCAATTGCACTGTAACGGGGTTGATTATTTTTATTATAGGAAATGGTCCTATAAATTTTGGGCCCAATTTCCTGCTTGGGAGTCTAAGTCTCAAGTACTTGGTGGAGAGGTAAACTTTCTCTCCCAGCTGAAATGGTCTTTGGGGAGTTCGGTGCTTGTCTGCTTGGTCCTTATAAGATTGAGCCGCCTTTGCCAGCGCCCTCTTAACATTTTCCCAAGTTTGTCTCAACATTGCCATCCAGTCGGTCAAACTGACTGAGGAAGGGGGCTCCCTCGGGTATTCTGGCATGGGAACAAAATCCATGCCACTCACTATTTTGAACGGGGTTAGCCCCGTGCTGCTGTGGACAGCATTATTATATGCAACCTCCGCAAAAGATAGGAGGTCTGCCCAATTGGACTGCTGGTAGTTGACGTAGCATCTTAAATACTGTTCTATCATAGCGTTCAGTCTTTCTGCCCCCCCATTGGTGCTCGGGTGAAATGCTGAGCTGAGCCCTTGGGATGAACCTATGGATCGTAGAAACTCCCTCCAGAACTTTGCTGTGAACTGGACCCCTCTGTCGGAAATGATTCTCCTGGGGACTCCATGTAGGCGATAAATGTGTTTCAGGAACAGTTTGGATAACTGACGGGCTGAAGGCAGTCCACTACAAGGTATGAAGTGTGCCTGTTTGGAGAATAAGTCTATTACAGTCCAGATCACTGTATTTCCACTGCTCCTTGGTAGGTCTACTATAAAGTCCATTGCAATCTCCTCCCATGGTCTTGTTGGCTCAGCTACTGGTTGCAACAATCCAGGCGGGCACCCTGGCCTTGTCTTCATCGTGGCACAAATGGTGCAGCTTTTTACATAACTGTCTACGTCCTTTCTCATGTGTGGCCACCAGAACTGCCTTCGTACTAGGTGCAGAGTCTTTAGGAACCCGAAGTGTCCTGCTGGTTTAACGTCGTGGCTCCTCTTGAGAATCAGGATGCGTAAACTCTGTGGGACATAGAGTTTTGTCCCCCTCCATGCTAGTTCATCTCTTTTTGTCACGAGATGTTGATTGTCCCGATACCAGGGGTCGGTCAGCGTTTCATTTTTTAATTTTGCAGTTAAGTCACTTGCAAGTTGGCCTTGCTGGTCACGTCGTTGCCGTCTGGTGATCACTTGGGCCGCAGCTTGGGTGGAGGGGATGATGGCATTCACTACCTGCTCCCGCTCACTGTTGTATTGGGGCATCCGGGAGAGGGCATCAGCCAGGAAATTTCTCCCTCCTGGGATGTGCTTAAGCTCGAAATTGAAACGATTGAAGTATTGTGCCCACCGCACTTGCCTGGGCGACAGTTTTCGTGGGGTTTTTAGAGCCTCTAGGTTTTTATGATCAGTCCAGACTTCAAATGGTTTCTGGCCTCCCTCTAGAAGGTGCCGCCAGGTCAACAAGGCCCACCTTACTGCAAACCCTTCCTTCTCCCACGCCGCCCATCGCCTCTCCGTATCGGTGAGTTTGCGGGAGGTGTAAGCGCAGGGTTGTAGATCACCTTGGTTGTTCTTTTGGAGTAACACGGCTCCTACTGCCACATCACTTGCGTCTGCTTGGATGACAAAAGGCTGTTCCGGATCCGGGTGTTTTAAGACAGGTTCTTTCGCGAACAGTCCTTTTAGCATCTCAAATGCCTGTTGGCAGGTCAGGTCCCACTGTAGGGGTTGTCCCGGGCGAGGTTTCATCGCTGGGCTTCCTGTCTTTAGGAGGTCCGTCAAAGGTTTGGCAATC